TGAATGGGAGAAATTTTATAGTCATGCTTTTTAAAATGTATGTTAAAGAACATTGGCATAAATTATGGAACATTTTATGCAACTAGACTAGAGTGTAGAAAAGTGAGGGTGAAAAATATGGTATATGATAGAAATAAAGCTTGTATGAAAAAAATCAGTGGAATATTTAGTGATTCAATATTTTTTCTTGATTGTTTAATGAATTTAAAAATAAATGCATAGAGAATTCTTTGGTGATACCAAAAATATGTTGATATGTGAATGTTCGTACATTATTACTGTATACGGTATATTGTTGGCTGACAACTTGACATACAAATTGAAGTAGAAAAGTGAGTCTGTTGCAAGGGATACTGTAACATTTTTGTTTGAAGAAACAAACTGACTGTTTCTAAGAGACTGATTCTGCCTGTGAAATCTAGTGTTCCGTATGTAAGAGAAGCTAATATATGAAGGGACAGAGAATGAGTGCAGTAGAAGAGGAAAACCAAGAAAATAGTGGCAGGATGGTGTTAATGAATTAGTTAAAAGGGGTGAATTGAAAACAATAAAGGCTCAGCAAATCTGTTGACCCATACAGATCATGTGGCTCAGATTCTAACAGAAGGGAGTATGTTACTGTTTAGTTGTTGATAACAGTACTCCAAATTATCATCTAACCAATCTGTTGGCTATCATAAGCCAGTTATAAACTACCCAAATGAGAAATTGGTCAGCTGGCTCTTCCAAAAGGAAAATTCTATGGTTCAGGAACAGGTCAAAATCTAACCTACTCCTCCAACATTTTACTGAAACCCATGTATATCCATGTGGTAAACTCTAAATAGTCTGTAAGACAAACTGGCTGCCTTTGTTGACCAGCATGGAAGCACATTAATTTAATAATCTGTACCCAATATCCTTCCAAAAGAGAAAATTTATGAACCTGGCTCCATGTTCATTTAACTTCTGCATTCTTTAATACACAATAAAGAAAGGAATACCATACCATACCAGTACGGACAATGCCACCATTCTTTCCGCTTCCCCATTGAGTATGAAGTAATCCATTTGGGTTGTATTTTTGCTACACGGAGTTTTAAATTTACCATTAACTGAGAAACCTTTAGGTATTCTTAAGATGTTTCTTTTCCACTCTTGGAAATTGACAACATTACTATTACATAAATTGAAAGACAAAAAGGACAAGTATGAAAAGTGAAAAGGGGCACATAACTAAGGCAGAATTTCAGCAAATAACTTGAGCCTGCAAAGATGAAGTGAGGAAAGCTAAGGCTCAAAATGAACTAAGGCTTGCGACAAAAATCAAAAATAACAAAAAAACTTTCAATATGTAAAAAATAAGTTAAGGAAATGATTGGTCCATTAATGGGAGAAAGTGGCAAGAAGGTGACAGGCAACAGGGAGAAAGCAGAACTACTTAACTTATTTTTTGCATCTGTCTTTACACAAAGGGAAGAAACAGTCCAACCTATCAAAAACACTACCATAAAAAACAGATTAGAAACACAAAATAGACAAGAAAATGGTGAGTGAGCACTTGTCCACCCTAGATGAGTTCAGATCACCAGGACCAGAAGGATTACACCCCAAGATTCTGAAGGAACTGGCAGATGTGATCTCAGAACCACTGAACTATATCTTTCAAAGATCCTGGAGCACTGGGGAACTACCATGGGATGCAGGCAGCACACAAAACCACGCACCCTCTGGTCTGCGGAACCGATCCCTGGTGCCCAAAAGGTTGGGGACTTCTGAAGTAGACCACAAACTACTACTTGATAAGATAGAAAAATGTAGGTTAGACAGTATCACCACCAGATGGATTTGTAGCTGGCTGACCGGCCATATTCAGCATGTGATCCTCAATGGAACTGCATCTACATGGAGGAAAGTGTTTAGTGGGATGCCCCAGGGCTCTGTTTTGGGCCCAGTGCTCTTCAACATCTTCATCAATGATTTGGATGAGGGGAGAGATGGGGAACTCATCAAATTTGCCGACGACACCAAGCTGGCAGGAATAGCCAACACTCCAGAAGATAGGCTTAATATACAGAAGGATCTTGACAGACTTGAACATTGGGTGCTATCTAACAAAATGAAATTCAGTGGTGAAAAAAGGTTCTACATTTAGGCAAGAAAAACCAAATGCATAGGTATGGTATAGGTGGTACCTTGCTCAATAGTAGTAACTGTGAGAGGGATCTTGGATTCTTAGTGGACAATCACTTAAATATGAGCCAGCAGTGTGCTGCAGCTGCCAAAAAAGCGAACACAGTCCTAGGCTGCATTAACAGAGGGATAGAATCAAGATCATGTGAAGTGTTAATACCACATTACAATGCCTTGGAATACTGCATCCAGTTTTGGTCACCATGATGTAAAAAAGATATTGAGACTCTAGAAAGAGTACAGAGAAGAGCAACAAAGATGATTAGGAGACTGGAGGCTAAAACATAAGGAACAGTTGCTGGAATTGGGTATGTCTAGTTTAATGAAGAGAAGGACGAGGGGTGACATGATAGCAGTGTTCCAATATCTCGGGTTGCTACAAAGAGGGGAGTCAACCTATTCTCCAAAGCATCTGAAGGCAGGACAAGAAGCAATGGATGGAAACTAATCAAAGAGAGAAGCAACCTAGAACCAAGGAGAAATTTCCTGACAGAACAATTAATCAATTGAACAACTTGCCTCCAGAAGTTCTGAATGCTCCAACACTGGAAGTTTTTAAGAAGCGACTGGACAACCATTTGTCTGAAATGGTATAGGGTTTCCTGCCTGAGCAGGGTGTTGGACTAGAAGACCTCCAAGGTCCCTTCCAATTATTATTATTATTATTATTATTATTATTATTATTATTATTATTATTATTATTATTATTATTATTATTATTAT